CTTATATTTAATTTTTATTATGATGAAAAACTCATGGTCCGTGTTTCAGCTGATACCTAAGTGATGCACTTCAACCTAATTTATATCTGATTTATATTTTAATATTTTTACCACCATATTGCTTATATTTGTTTTTATGAAGGCGCACAAAATTGATTCATAATATCTTTTTAATGTGATGAAAAACCTAATGGTCCGTGTTTCATCTGATACCAGAGTGATGTACTTCAACCTAAATAATATCTGATTTAATTTAAAACAATATTTTTACCACCTCATTATTTTATTTGTTTTTATGAAGAAAAAATTGATTTTAACATTGGGTAGYAATAATCATTTACCACAATCTTTTCTCCATAATATGAATAGATACTTATAAAATGATGAATGATTAATTTATCATATTTTATTATATTAGATGTTATCAGTGACTGTACGTAGTGATTTGGCGCCTATGATGTGTCGATTTTTGAAAACCGATTACGAATGGAACTGGCGTTTTCGACAAAATTTCTGCGAACAATTAGCAGAGTCTTTACACTTATTTACACCCCTTGATATGTACCATCATATACATGAGGTGTGCTTGTCCTTACTCATGGACAGAATATCATCTGTGCGTCAGTCTGCTTTGTCACTGGTAATTATAATTAATTTTTATTTCTTAAAACTATTTTAAAGAACGAATTAACTGTGTTTTTGTGTATTAGGTTCCTGAATTATTGGTTGTACTTAATAAAAATCTAAATCTAAAACGATTGATGTTAAATGAACTAGTTACACGTTTTGGACGAGCAGAACTGTGGAGTAGACGACAAATGTTTGCCCAAATATGCTCATACATATTAAACTATGGTGACCGGTGTCTGTCCACTATAGATTTCAATAATGAATTAATGCCTTGTTTGCTAAACTTGGGTTCTGACCGTGTACCAAATGTTCGATTAATGGTAGCCAAAACTCTCTATACACAAGTTGCTAACAACTGTAAGTTAAACAAACTGCAATGTATTGAACAAACTAATTTTATACTATTTATTTATTTTAGCCGTGTTTATGGATTTACAAAATCCACAACATAATGTACTTACTGAAACCTTGACAAGGTTAAGAAGAGATGAAGACCGGGATGTTCGTTATTTTGCTGATAGCAACCGGGGCTTTGGTATTAGTGCCAATTAGTTTATATTAAATTACATTTGCGATCACTTTTATGTACATTTAATTTTACACAAACAGTTATTCACAATAAATTTTATCCAAAAATGGCTGTGCCAACATAAATGCATAATATTAAAATTAAACTTAAAATGATTATTATTTATAAGAAATATTTATTATTATCATTATTATTGTTATTATTATTATAATATTATTTGATTTATATATATTTATATTCAGATGAATAACATTTTATTTTTTCAATATAATATTCAATGTTTTTATTATAATCTAATATTCTATGTTCCCACTAAATAGTTTTTTCCTTTAATTTAGTTACATATTACTTGAAATATAACAAGTATCTGGTTTACCAGATGATAAACCATGAAATAAACAACTTAAATAAAAAATCGGAAATAAAACAATAAAGAAAATTATTTCAATGTTTAAAAGAATTTAATTTTCTGTTCAATATACACAAAGTTTATAAAGACTTACAATATAAAAGAATATTTTATGTACAGAGTTACCCATTGTGACTTCACATACCTCCCTGTATTAGTCAAATGAGAACACAGGGGGTGTGCCACCTTATTTAAATGTACATAACYGTATATAATAATTTGTAAAAATATGGAAGAGATCACATCACGACTAACTGACTAGGACTATTGCTGGCTGTTGTGGGAATGCTTTCCTGAAACCTGTCGATTAATTGACGACAAACTGGACAGAGTGTCAGTTGCTGTGCACAGTTTTCACAATAACCTCTGAAAAAACAATAGAAAAACAAAACTTATTTGTGAAAATTAATGAATTAATAGTTAATTATAGTAATATTGTTCTAATGATACAGAATATGAATGTAAATTTAACAATATAGTTCGTATATAGTGTTCGGATGCAAATCATCCATCTCAAAGGTCTCTTCTGGAGTTTCTCAAGGAGGACATTTATCTCCAATATTGTTTTCTTTGTATGTAAATGGCATCAAGGAAATTGTCAAAAATTGTGAACTACTCATGTTTGCCGACAACTTGAAGCTCTTTAGGAAAATTGAAAACTTATCTGACTGCTCTACGCTCCAAAATGATCTCAACAACCTGGTCTCGTGGTTTAATAATATTGGTCTTCAGTTTAATGTAAGTAAATGTCATTCCATGTCATTTTTAAGACACCGCTTTCCTATTAACTATACTTACTCCATCAATRGTTCAAGTGTGACATCGGTATGTAGTAAGAAAGACTTAGATATTATCTTTAATTTCGATCTCAATTTTCACTCCCACACTGAAATGATATGCTGCAAAGCCTTAAAAATGCTTGGGTTTGTGATGCGCATATCAAAGGAGTTCAATCTATCTTCTTCATTAAAAACTTTATACTGTTCATTGGTCCGTTCACTATTAGAGTATTCTTCGGTCCTATGGGACCCTTATACGGTATCTGACTCCTGTCAACTAGAACRTGTTCAGAGACGGTTCTTATCTTGCGCAGCTTTTGTCTTAAAAATAAATCATCCTCCCCACGACTATTTCTTAGTTATGCAGGAACTCAGCCTCATTTCACTGGCTGACAGGCGAGTTAACGAGTTTCTAAATAAACTGGTTGATGGTCGTATAGATGCTCCCTCACTTCTCTTGTTAGTCAATTTCAAAGTTCCATCCCGTACTACTAGAAACCATGCTCCTTTCGTTGTTCCTGGGCACACTACCAACTAAGGCAGAAATGATAGACCGCATGAYGGGGCTGGCCAATGAGAGCACCGTTCATCAAAACTGATACATTTTATTATTATATATTTTTTTCTTTTTATTTGTTTTAYTATCATTATTATACTTATTATTCTGTAGTTATTATCTTATATAAATTTAAATGTGTCATTGTATTAATTATTTAAATTATATATTATTGTATTATGTTAAACTGTTGTATAGGGCYCAGCCCGTTAACAAATAAATAAATAAATAGATGCCCTACATTCCTACACAAACTAAAAAAAACCAAAAATTATCAAAGAAATTTTAACCTATCAGAAACCGCCTAAAGAAAATACAATACCTGTAAATAAAATAAATGCATTAAACAGGTGTAACACAGGCATTTATTGAATGTTTACAAGTGAATAATAGCGAATTTACAGATAGCAGAACACGTTTAGCTAAGCTTAGTTTAAAAATTAAAGCCAATTGATCTATCATGTATCAGGTTAAAAYATGATGTGTGTGGAAGTTAACTAGAGTTATTCAGTTTTCATACTAGTTAAGAGCATTTTTAATTTATGCAATATTAAATACACATACASATTATGTACTTCTCATCAGATTTTACAAGAGGTTGATTCTCTTATTTTTAAAGCTATTGAARCTAAATATATGATCTTCTGAGTGTAAATTAGTTATATTTAACACTTGTGAGGTGGAGACAACAAATGCAAGCAAAGTCTTCTTAAACTAGCAGTCTGACCTGTGTAAGGATAAAGGCTGACATGGTGTAATTCCAAATATATTTACTTTTCTATATTATGCATTGTACAATTAACTGGTATTGTTTGAAACAAAAAGAATGTGGTTAAATAATAAATATTACATTATGCTTCATTGTTTAGTTTTAAATTTAAYCTGAATATCAAATAAAATATATACTACARCATTGATATTGTTATTCAATTGACTGTGTCTTAATTTTGTATTTTAATTTTTAAAGCGAGTTATTATACTTAATCTCTGACTGTACTGGAGGATCCTAGTATGCACAATAAATATTGATAACGTGAATAAAAATAATTATATATTAAAGCATTTGAAGTTGAATAGAACTAGACATTTTTGGAAGATATATCCACATTTAAAAAAAATGAAATCTACCTAATTAATAACTAAAATGAGTTCCATTCAATAAAATTAAACTTGATGGTAATGTACTAATGTTTAATTGYAAATTACTTACTCATGTTTACAAGGGTATAACATAACATCAGCTTTATGATCAAAACAAATTGTACATGAATCTTCATCAGCTGTCTGCTTGCCTAATAAACCTAATAAACCCAGTCTCATTTGTCTAAAAATAAAAATCATATTTATTTCACGCACTTTTTTTTTTTTTTAATACTTACTTAGGTAAGATTGTTTTTTCTTTTTCGTCCAATTTTCCATGGTCATTCATGATACTGAACTTAACACCTTTTGGTGGATATTTGAATGGTTTGCTACCAAAGTTAAAACGACTTTGTTGGAATGTCATAAAACTAGCTGCAGCAAAAAACTCTGTCCTATATTTGTAGAATTCAAACATAATTAGCATCAATTTTTAAATACAAATGGTAATATCAATAAAATAGAATGTCTTCATACTTAGCATATTGAAATATTTTGTCATTAAATGCAACAATTTGACCATTTAAGTAGAATGTTGCAGTTGGAGATGGTTTTTCCACTTGTAATAAACAACCAACTGTATCTCCTTCACGCCATGGCCTTCCAGACACACAACTGGTACATCGTGCACCATGCCATACTAGTTGTCTGCAGCCATCGTAGGCTACTGAATATTCATCATCACCTATGCCATATCCTTCCTAAAATTATTTATTTATATTAATTCAAAAACTAATACAATGAAAATGAGTAAACATTTACATGATTAACAAATTTTGAATTTTTAGTTGACCATCCAATTTGCATGACACCAGATGTTAATATTGTTACTTCGTAGTACCAAGTGCCTTTGTCAATTTGGAAAGTACAGCGAACACTTTCAAAACTACATGCATCACATCTAGCCTATTTAAAAAAAATGCAATAGGTTATGTAAGATATACAATATACATGGTTATTTGGAAAATTATTTATACTTCTAAACCAGAAGGACCCAGTTTTAAATACTCGCTAGCATCTTCTTGATTTAATATGGCATTTACACCTTCCATTGAAATATTTAAATATGATAACGTCCTTTGATCATCCACAACTAATTAAAAACGATTATAAAATATTATTTTATTAAAATTAATATAAACATTAAATTACTGTATTACATATGTTATCTAGTAGCCATTCAGCACAAAACCCAACTTGAGCATAAAACGGCTGATCAGAACCTGTCAACCTTTCAAATATTGACAACATTGCCAAAGGTCCAGTCTTCATAAAAGTTTCAATTGTAAATCTGTTTTCTCCTACAAATTCAAATGAAACATTTATAAATTATGGTTACAATAAATTAAGCAGAAACACTTACTTATTTGTGCAAATTTTTCAAGTGCAATTAATGAAAATAGTATAATTGAAGGATGTACTTGCAAATCCTGGAAATATATTATTGGATATTTAAAAATTCTTTTTACATATACAAGGTGATTCTTTTAAGTGGGTACACTAATTATCTCGAAAAGTATTTACTTTTTTTAAAATATTTTTTACATGGTTTCAAGTTGTT